AGGAAAAATGAAAAAAATACTTCTTATCGCCAGCATAAATGCGTAATTATTTATTTTACAGAAAAAGTAATTTTTCACCTTTGGTTGAGTAACGCGTCGTAGAATGCAGATACGGGCATGCAAAATACACTTGTGAAAAGCTTGAAGTCTGGCGATTCTAAAAATATATACTTTCCCGGGTCTATTTGTAGTCATTTAGTCACAATTAGAAGATGAAAACAAGTATGCAAATAATAGTCCCGCTACCTAAAAAAACTTCAAGCTTTACAAAGGTGTGTTTGCCATGCCCGTATCTGCAGTCTAATGTTTAGAATGTCAGAATATGTTTTCTTTTATTTTAATTTTGAAAGTTTTACTCAGACGATCGATGAAATAAAACAGTGTAGTGACGTGCCTAGTAACCTGCTAAATAACGAGATAATTCCGACGTCAAATTCTATTTTGTTCAGCGACAGTGTACAAACGTGCACCGGTGTCGGTGACGATCACGGTGACCAGCTACACCAGAACGGACATATTTCGCATCTAACTCAACCCCATGCAACAAAAATTGATACTATGTGTTCATTATGGTCCATTCTTCCTCGACGAACAAGTACATAAGTGACAATATAGTCAAAGACGAAAAAACTGCACATGAAATTTGCCTTATTTACACGTATCGACAATGCAAGCTGCCATGCGACTTCCCCTTCTGACGTCACAAGGGGAATTTATGTATGCAAATGAGAAGCTAATGAGGAGCCTCGTTTTAAAATACACAAAAATAAAGTTGCCGTAGACTTAAAAAAATAATTCATGCTTAGAAACATAAAAATTAATAATATTTATGTATCAAATGATAATTTTAGGCTTGAAAATAGCAGCCATTTCACAGGCACTTTAAACCATATTGTAAAATCTAATTTGTATACTCTTATTTTATAAATTCTTGATATTTGCATAATAATTATATTTCGTCTTTTCTTTTGTCTTTATTAATAGGAATGTGAAGCTTGATGCAGAGTTTGAGACAAGACTTGCACAGTTCATGGAATATCGGGAATGAGATGGATGAACTTCTGTTTTCTGATGAAGAGTTGGTTTTGGTCAATTGTAACCCCGCTCCCCCTGGTATTACTCGCCATAGAAGTTTCGTAAACTGCTTACATTTGATTAGAGACGCATTTTGTCATTTTGTGACTCTAAAGACAATTTAACAAAAATTTGTCATCAAAAAAATTCAATGAAATGAATGTAAATTAAATCGTTTATTGTTTACACCACAAATCTTAACAGATGTCTAAGGTGTTACTTTTCCATCTTAATTACTATGAAAATGTTAATCTGTATTTTGGAAAGTGTTTCTTTGTATGAGTAGCTTTCTTTAAATACATTTACTCATATTTTCAGGTGGTATTTCATCAAAACATGGTCTCATGATTGTTTACAGTAAACCTTACAGAAGTGTGGGTAAAATATGGTTAAAGACATAGATTATTGACTTTGTGTAACCGTTAGCAACTGAGAAAGTAAAGCAGAAATGATAAGCACGGCAAGTTTTTCATTGAAAGCTGGCTACTTTAAAAGTTTGGAATCCATAATAATTTTAGCAGCACATTCATTTGAACATTTTATAGTGGTCTTGATGGAAATATACATTTTCTGTAGTCTATTTTAGTTTTGAATATCCTACTTCTACCAGACAGACTGAATTTATAATTTAACCATTTTCCAAATCACTGTTAATGTACATTTTACAATATTTACTTATTGTCTTGTAATGATCATGACCCCGAAGTACCAGGTTTTTTAAAGACAAAAGCGTTGATATTTATGCAGATATCTTATCTTGATATTATGTTACTGGGTATATTTTTTTCCATTATTTGTAATAATGTGTAAGGAAGTGATATAGTGCCATCATACTATTGTCATGTGATTCAATGATGGTTCCTATTCAGTAAATGAAAATGTTTTATGTACAATTATAAATTGATCACATTGCATCGTTTAGTTTTATTGTTTGATGTCAACCAAGATCTTATTGTGTCTTGTACTACCATTGTATCATGTGAACGGTCTATTGATAGATGCTTGCATAATGCAACGTTTCAAAGAGTCTTAGACCTGGTCTTAAATGTGAATATAATTATGGATTTTCATAAACTTTGTACGTCAACATTTGTAAATATATTATAACCATTTTTGGCAATATATTACTTGTTTGTTTGCTTAATATTCTTTCCTCTGTACTTGTCAGCAAGTACCAGTACAACTAAGTCAATCTATTGAATTTCAAATATTGAAATAATGTCATGACTAGTCAATGCTGTATTTGGAATAAACTGGGACAAGGCTGGTGTGCTGTAAGGGGAAAGGCACACTTGTGTTATATGGGAGAAAGTGAATCAATGTTCACACCACTCTCTGGCTTCATCTTCATGAATACACTGCTCCAAGTATT